CAGAGTCCTGATTCACATAAACGACCTCATCGATCAAACGCGTAACCTGAAACGGACAATGAGAATAGAATCAAGCAACCTGAGAATAAGCCCTATTGAACTGATGTGATGGTTACATCTCGCTGCTTCTACATCGCAGGGGCAAAGTCAGGTCAAGAAATCTTTCGTCTCATTGTGGTTTATTAATCGGTATGATATTTGCCTGGAGGGGTAGAAGTTTTCTGGACATTGTTCTGACGATTACCTTTCCTTGCTACACGAGCCGTCCGGACGCGAACCCCCCCCCCTCCAGGTCCAACCACGCTTTCCACCTGCTGGGGCCAGTAGATCGGAGTCAAAGCTATTTCAAGCTGTTCCTAAGCTGTCTTTGATTTCAACTATAGGTCCAACACTTGTATTAAACGTCTGCTGAAACAAGCTATCTGCTGCGAAAAGCAAAAGCGGATTCAAGTGGTCCTGCGACCAAGAAGGATTTCAAATTCATGGCGCATCACAAAAGTAAATCCTGAAATCCAAACATTTCTCAAAGAGGTCCCTACAGCGTAAAATCATAAAGATGAAATGAATGGAATCGTCTATTTTTTTTTCTTCTGAAACGGGAACGCACTCAACTGGGACTTGTTTGTCGAACTCAATCCTCCTCCATTATCGTTCATTTTGCCAACCACTTAGGTGCAATTTCATCGATTTCTCCTCCTTTTTGATGTGCGACGCAGGGAAAGAAAACCATTGAGGATTTGCTACCCACGGAAGGGACGGTAGGGAAAGTGAAGCAAGGTAGGGCACCATTCTGCCAATTACTCAGCTACACCTCAGAATTGCATAGTACTTGAACGCTTGCCTTTGTTATACCATGGTTTAGGAAAACCAGGCAGGTTCATATACCAGGCAAGAACTGATGGCTATTCTTCAGGTAACAGGCCATGTGCTACCGTTAGGAAAAAATTTTGCAAAATACGACCCCCTTTATATAGCGCACTTGAAACAAAACAGAGAAATGTCAACAACCGAGAACATTTAACCTCGAAAACAAATTGGACCCCTCCTTTAAACGACTGAATACGACCCCTCTCGCTGGAGATCCCCAACGTACGACGTGAACTGCCAAGGAAGGCATAGTAAATACAAATCTTAAGATTCAGTATGTTTTCTTGTGCCTCTCGAGGTTTTTAAGGTGGAACAGTTTATTTTAGCGGCCTGACGTTTCGACGTAATCGTCTTTTTCAGAGGCCTAAAAGTGTTTCGAGTTTTAGAGATGTGTACTACCCCGCCAAGCGCCTAATCCACCCCAGCATTTCCGAATGAGAAGAGAATTACAAAATGAGAGAAGCTGGAGAATAATCTCAAGATTGTTTCCTGAGCAGGGCATGTCGTATGTTGGAGATCTCCAGCGAGGGGGGTCGTATTTGGCCGCCGGAAGGAGGGGCCTCGTATCTGTTCTAGAGAAGAATCATCTCGGCTCTTTCGATATTTTCTGTTTCAAATGCGCTGTGAACTCCATCACCCCCCGGTCGTCAGAATTTTTTGGGAATGCTGGGGAAAATATGTAGAAAACTGCTAGAATGGTTGGAAGCTGGGGAAACTCAGAAAGATGCTAGGCACGATGGGGATGGCTAGTAGCAAGAAATTCTGAGGAGGGGGGAGTGTTTTTGTAACAACTTTCCCCAGCGACTGGATGTATCCTGGTCCTGTTACCCTTGGAACTAATGAATCTCATGACCTTGTGAACGAGAAGTGGCTGTTCTGGAAATCGTTATACTTTCTTTCAATATAAACAATTTCGCTTAGATCAACCGAGAAATCATGAAGTTAAAAAGGCTGAGGTCCTTTCCGCTTCAAAAAAAGTGGAGGGGGCATTTTGCACTTTCCCTAGTTTCTTTTCATAGTCCATGCTAACTTAGTGGTCTTACTTTGGTGACACCTGTAAACTCCTGTGACACTGCAAGTCGGTAAAAGTGATTCGTTCTGGTCACACGAAATTATGACCTCCAAGGGGAGCCTGTACAAACTTCGCTGAATACTAGTTCATGCCCATCACGCCGAACTGTGCCAAAGTCGATAACGAATAAAGTCCCCAAAAAAACATGAAATTACTACCTTGTCAACATCTTCATCAGCTTCTTTCTTTATCTCGATTTTCACACTCGACTTCGAATCACTTCTCTTTTCATCAGACCGCGGCGTTACCGGCTTCTTCTGAGACTCTGATTCCCGCTGGTTCTGAAATATCTGGCGATTGGGTGGAATGAAAATTCAAGGTAAATTCACAAAGCCTTTTATGTGGAGGAATAGTTCTCACTCCGCCTTATCTAAAACCCAGTTGCAACTAGTAGTAAACACTAATCAAACAAAGCGCGCTGTTCCTTTCATCTTTTCAGAAAAACTGGAACGCTATTGTTGCCTGGCAGTTCCCGAAACACATTTTGACGGAATAGTGCAAAGGTTTGTAATAGTGTAGCAAGGGAACCAATGTTACAACTGAGTGTAGAAATGAGAAAACTGGGCGTGAATGGACTGACGAAAAGACTCACTTTCAATTTGATTTCATGCTCTTCCCGAACTCTTCGCAGCATTGCTTCCACAGCAGCACCTCCCGTGACATCCGGTGGTGCGGTACACTTTGTATTTCCGTTCCTTGGAACACCTGAACGTCATCTTTTTCAAGTGAAAAAGAGAAAATCCATTCAAATGCTCAACAACAAGGTTGCCTACATATAAAATGCATGAACGAGCGCTGCGTAGGTTCTATTGACTAATGCTCACCAATCCTTTCTCTAGCTTCGACACCTCAGTTAGTTCGAGCATATTCCACTTAGCGTTAGCAAGAATCTTATGAGAAAAGATGGGTAAGGCCGCGTTCATAACTTGCGACCATGAAGAAATGCATAAATGCAGAAATGAAGAAATGCGGAATCTGCGGAAATGACGAAAAGCATTACATACATATCGATTTGAAGAAATGCAGAAATGCGGAAACTGCAGAAGTGCGGAAAGTGCAGAAATGACGAAAAGCATTACATACGTATCGATTTGAAGAAATGCAGAAATGCCGAAACTGCAGAAGTGCGGAATCTGCAGAAATGACGAAAAGCAACCGATACGTATCGATTTTCCGCAATTCGGCATTTCTGCATTTCTTCAGATTCCGCATTTCTTCGAATCGATATGTATTTAATGCTTTTCCTCATTTCAGCAGATTCCGCACTTCTGCAGTTCCCGCATTTCTTCATTTCTTCACGGTCGCAAGCTATGAACGCGGCCTAACAGTCACAATATTACTCCTTGCCAAACGAGTTCCCAAGAGAACTCGATTTGGTCACTACTCAACGATTTACGATGGCTCAGAACTCTAGCGCATTATCTTGAATTAATATATAAAAGAGTCGTATTTAAGCTTGGAGGGAGGGCACATTTTTCCGACTGATTCTCCCGTTCCATATGCCAAAGTGCACCGTTTCGGTTCGACGGCAAAGGCTAAGTAGTAGGTAGAGGCTGTGGCCGAGACTTGGAGGCAGAGAAATCTTGGGGGGGGGGGGTACACTGACACTACCACCCATCCCTATCCTTCACCCTGCCCTAACTAACAAATAATCCGGCAATAAGATCAGATGTTCTTCGTGTGCTTAGAAGAGGCTATGTGGGGTAGTCAGCATACTAGAAATTTCGAACCATTCTCAAATTGTCAAAAAGACAAGGAGGTCGAAAGGTCAGTTCATCTAACAAGGGTCTCAGGACATCTATCCACCGCAATGCCTTCCTCCTCCTTTTTTTCCCTTCCTCCGTCCTTCTTTTACTTCCTCCCTTCTCTCATCCCTCTTCCTCATTTTCGTGCCTTTAAATGATCGACCTAAAGATGCAGTGAGAAAACACCCCTGGACCTTTGTAAAGCAGAGAGCATCGGGAAATCCTGCTTGCCAGACCTAATTCACATTCCAATCAGCTCAGGATCCAGGCAAGGATAGCATGGAGGTAATAGTTTGTCCATAATGGGGATCCAGAAATAAGCTCCACAGGAGCAAAACCAAAAATGAGCGCAGTTTTTGTTAAAACGTACAGACTACTGTAAACCAATCAATAAGAATGAGCAGAGGGGACCGTGTGAGAGGTCATCTAGAATAGAAACCGTCATCTAGAGGAATAAAACTCAGACTCCAACAGATAACAATCCTAGATTGTGCTGCCCGGGCCTCATTTATGAATTAATAATAACATATTAACTTAGAATATCAATGAGAATACAGGAATGAGGGCATTTGTACGTTTTGCAGCGCGACGATTCAAAGGGCTCCAGAAAGGGTTTTCTTCTTCCCAATTCCCTCTGCTCTTGAGAATCGTCGGCAATGATTTTTTTTCTGGTGCCCTCTCATGCTTTCACATCCAGATAACTATCCCTATACCATAAAAAAACTGGTCTGTCATGAGTGAAAGGTACCGAACAATGAGAAAGGGTAAGTACCATAAACTAAATGTCAATGAACTTCGTCCCATGAAGGAGATAATATGTATCACAACTACTATGCCGAGAAGCCAGAAACGCCTCTCGAACATGCATGAGAAGCGGAAAGCCAATGAAAACCTGATATTCCACTCGTAAGCGCTTATCAAGATCGAAAGCCGCGAGACATTCGCAAATTCATTGGATCTTTTTTGCTTCAAATAAACATCGCTTCGAAAAATGGAATTCGATGGGACGAGATCATAGATGGGTTTGAAGGAGAAACTAATCAGCAAGAATGTTTTTGCACCTTCTGATGGCATTGCCATTCAGACCGGTTCACCGTTCTTCATATTTCGAACCACCCAAATAGACTATTTCAAAAACTTTTGCGAATATCTAAGAGGACACTTTGAATGATTTTTTTTCTAGTCATAACATTAGGGTGCAAAATATGTCCCGAGCCAACATCGAAACTCGGAGCTTCCGAGAACTCCAGTAAAATTAATAAGAAAAACAATTAAAGTACCTAATCCAGTGTTCTGCTTGCCAGGGGTTTTCCGTTTCAACGAACCCACCAGACTGTCGTCATCATCAGAAGACGAATCTGAAACGAAATTAGGCTGATGAAGTAATCGTCTTATCAACTGTCACGCTGCAAACTTTGAGATAACCCGAGACAACAAGCAGACAAAAGACACACCGGAAGCTCGACTGAATCGTTTTCGCGATTCACATGAAAATATGAATTGGTGAACAATACTGGGACAAACTTTGTAAACTCTTCGGAGTATTCTGCAAGCGCTTTTGCTGTAAAAACACTGCTTCGGCGCGAATCTCTGAAATGAAACTAAATGAAATGGATGACTTGACGTAATTACGATTTCAACGGAAAATATCAACGATGACGAAGCGATGTTTCACCTCATCAAAATGAGCGATAGGAAAAATGGATAGAAATACTACCGTAACAGGAGCGGGGTGAATCAGCACCACAGTGAAAACCGTAGATGTTTTTCAGCGCAAAATTGGACAGCAAATTTAACGGAAACGAACGACAACACCCATTGTCTGCAGTGAAAAAAATGGTTCGAACCACGCCCCGAAACCTTGTTACAATCCGGAATCCTGGCGATCCTGCGCGCATAGCTAAGCGCGGTTACGTGACTACTTCAACTTCTTTCACGATGCTGTTGCAAAATGCTACAGCGCCGTAAGAGCGGTTGCGAAGCACTGAAGGTGCAAGAAAACAAGTGGTGTACATGGGATTCTTAAAGGCATAAGGAATGATAACTGGCAATCGGTCTAAAATGTTAGCAGGGGTGCTACGTAGTGGGGGGAAAATGACGAAAAGCCGAAAGCGAAATGCGTGGAAAAATGCTGCAAAAAGCGCTTTTGTTCCACGACACACAAGCAGTTTTGACGAGCGCCCGATTTTGGCATCGTACCAATAATCCGCCGTAGATATGGTAGATACATATATGTACTCATATGTCCACACTGAGCCGCAGCCGCTACCTATCAATCCCTTCTTCACACTTGTATCTCGCGAATATAGCGATACGAGCATCAGAGTAAATCGGACATTTGTGGGCGGGCGAACGCGGTGGGCGTCCGGGTCGGTATGTTGCAGCTTGATACAGTGCTATAAGGGTTACTTTTCTAGAAAAGGCGCCACGCAGCACCTGCTCAGGGGCGCCGAACTATGTCCTGCTAGTATTAACCCTACACGCCTTGAGGATTTATTGTGACACTTGCCCTGGAATGGGAGGATACAGCGGAAAGGGTGTTTATAGGTAGAAAAATAGAGCGTCTAGGGTTACAATGGGTCTAAAACGCCACACACACACACACACACACATACACACACACACACACACACATACAGAAAAGAGAGGGCACACTCGAATTCAGCGATTACGATAATGATCATGGCTAATGCCTACCACATATAGTGAAAGAAGTGGTAGCTCCTGTAATATTGCCAATGAAAAACTATCATAAACGCTCAAAACAGAGATTATAGCCATTTATGCGTCCATAAACTCTGACTTTGTATGCAGGGCACGTCGCTGGAAAAAATTTATGCAAAACACGACTCTTTCTCGAAATTCCTCCTTTCGTACGATCCCTCCCCCCTCCGCACTAGGGACTCCTCACCCACGAACATGTTCCTTAATTGTACAGAACTTAGGTTCCACATGAGCTTTAACTAGGTCTCGTTGAACATTTAGTCGTGAACTCAGAAGGAGCAACAAAGGAATATTTCTGATATGCAGCTTTCTTTATTCATTCACTACGCCTCAAGGGGTCGTATCCAGTGGTCCGCTGGAGGAGAAAGGTCTAAATGTCCTTCTCTGATAGCTGGTTCTTTTCTTTTCACGAGCACTTTTGTCATTATTGAAGACTCCCATGAGACTAGGGGAGTCACATTCACCCGCCGGTAGAAAAGGGGGTTCACCCAACCTTAATAAGGTTTTGTTCCAAGCGCAAGAAAGTTTTCTATTGTTCACTTTAGGCCACGTGGCACGGCACAAGTTGACCAAGAATTTGAGTTTACTGACCATAGTGACCATGACCTATAAACAAACCAGCCCCTGATTCGTAGGACCTGGGCAATTTTTCAGCGTATGCCTGGGAATCGAGTTAAGAGAAATTAACTGGAAAAAGCTGCCTCGTGGAATGTATAACCAGTTACAAGTAAGAGCTATTGAAATGGATGTTAACGACCGAAACTGACAAATAACTGGCAAATCACATGCTCGAACGTACCGGAATGGAATCGTGACTCATCTCTGGTGAGACGTCGCTGATGCTGCCGGTGAGCACGAGAACCTGGACTACTTTTCGACTGGCCGGGACCTAAACATTCAGCTATTGCTTGATTACCACCCTGTCAAGGCAGAAAACACGAAAAAAATAGAGAGGGCGCTCAGAGCTGATAGTAATGGAGAAGAGTCGAAAACTATGCTTTGTGCTAACTCGAACAAGGGCAAGTAATGGATCCCCGAAAAGCTGATGGCATTGATTTCACTCAGCCTTCACGGCTAAAACGATGAGTACCCTCGTCCCGCAACCGACAAGTGCCATATCGAGTGCGAAATGACCTTGGAGAGATATGAATGGCCACTATAGCCTCCCTCACCGAAAACGCAAAAAAAAGAGAAAGTGATGATTATCCAACCTGCACTGCAGCCTTTGCTGTACTTTGCTAATAGTAGATTCCGCTTTTTCTCATAGCCTTTCTGAGTGATATCACCTGAAATAACTAATTTTGTATTATACCAGCGATGAACCGGATCCAGACATTGTGAAGAATCTTAAATCCAATATTTTAGGAGATCTGAAAAATTGGCCTTCTTTTTCTTACATCAGTGTTCTTCATGGAACGCTGTTTCTGCAGCGAAGCAACAGAGGCTCAGTTTGAGAATAAGAATTTTCGGAAAGCCCGGAAAGCTTTGAAAAAAAAGTCCAATCAGCTCAATCAACACAGCATTCAACAGCAACAGAATAGGAAAGTTACTGAGCAGAACAGATGTCGTCCTCCTTGCCTTAACCTTTAGAACACAACTGCTTTCCTTGAAAGTTGGACTTATGCCAGTAATGGAAAAGTGGCACCGTTCTCAATAAAGTGCTTGTACTTCTATATCGGAATGGTATCGTGAACGGTATCTCTTACCGTAATGCGATAGGGTTCTTTGTTTAACATCCTGGGTAGTGACTCATCTCCAGCGTAAGGGCAGTCTACACCGAAATTAATGGAACCTTTTAGCGCGCAATCTCTGCAATAATTACCCACACGTAGCATATCTATACTTGCTTCGTCGTGCAATCTCTCAAATCGCCAAGCCTCACGCGTGGCAAGGTATGAACGCGGCCTCAAGGTAATAAGAGAAGGTCTCTGTTAAAACCCGAGGCAATCCCTCATTTCCCGTTTGTGTCAGCAGCTAGAGCAGTGAAGTAGGCGTCGGGAACCGTGTCGCTCCCACACGGCGTGCCGTTTGGACGCGATTACTGTCCGCTATGGAGTCATCTATGAAGTGCCTAGATCACCAAATCCGCGGAAACCTGTGTACAGGGGGTCATTTGACATCCTGATCACGGATATGACATTCATTCTTGGCGCTGGCGCTAATGGAAGACTCTACGATTATCTGCGCTCTACTAAGGCTGAGCCCAAAAAAATCGTAGTGTCTTCCACTCGCGCCAGCGCCAACAATGAATGTCATATTCGCCATCAGGATGTCAAATAACCCCTGTATACAAGTTTTCAGCGGATTTGGGTGATCTAGGCACTTCATAAATGACTCCACATCGGAAAGAAATCGCGTCCAAACGACATTAGCCCTCGCACAGCCACGCGCACTTTTGCCTTGTTATTCAGTGCTAAATGAGGATCCATCCATACACTCCCCGTGCAAAATGTTAAACTTTATTTTTCGCCATCACTGGAAAATCATCTACAATATATCTACGTGGTACGGTATCTCAACAATCTGTGCTTCGCAACAAATGTCCAAACTCAAAATGACTGACACAATGGTTGACACTCGCTCCGTAATGGCGACTGTACATCAAACGGCGTCGTGGCAAAAACCAGCGGGCAAAAATAATGCTCTGCCAGATTCCATTCATAGAAAATGATTTCAGAGCAATTGAAATACATAGTCCAGCTGCGCTACACTTCTGACTCGAGAGGTACTCACGTGTTTGAGGATGACTACAGAAATATAAATCGTAGAGTAAACATAAAAGATCATTAAAGATCCGGGATCTAAAACGTGTAGATACTTCAGAAAAGTGAGTAAAAATCGCAGTAGTAAAACAACGCGCCTCTCTCCGCGTGTATCCTAAATGGTGGCGCAGGTGGTCTAAAATTTGTTGAACGTTACAGCTCCATCAAGAAAGGATGTAATATAAATGAGCCGAGAACTCGCACGAAAGTCCGTTCGTCCCTGATCTCATACGAACCAGTGCCCAAGCATTCATCCTTGCGTCAGCGTTTTGAGCGAGTAATGTCTTGAGGGTACGCCACAATTTTCAGCAACTTACTGCGAAACGGTCAAAACGCCAGATCGATATCTGTACCTTCACTTCCTTCTCCTTTCTTTGTCACTCAGAAACACTGGTACGCTGGCATACGCTCAAAACGCTAGCTCGATAGCGGTGCTTTCCTAGTCACTCGAAACGCTGACGCAAAACACGCTCAAAACGCTAAAAACGCCAAATGTAGCCTCACTGTAAATGTAAAGTCTATACTAGAAATCTAAATAGCATTGCTCCGCGTCAGCGTCCAGCAGCGACCACCAGCGTTTCAGGCGTACGTCACAACAGCGCCTAGGAAGGTATAGATATCGATCTAGCGAAAGCCAGTGGCTACCAGCTTTCGCCAGCGTTTGCCTACTTTCGGAAGTGGAGAGCATGGGGAAGGAGGATAACAAACGGCTAGGTTAGGCATCGTGAAATTGCAGAGTGTGCAGTACACCGTAGGACTGCGAAAGCATGGAATTATGCAATTTTCGTGCGGTTTAGTGCACTTGAACGGTGCATTTGCATACGCCCCAACTTCACGACGACTAATTTAGCTGTCTGCTACCCTCCTACTTCCCCATACTCTCCACTCCTAGGACGTTAGTGGTCCTTGGTGGACGCCGATGCAAAGTATGAACACAACCTGATGCCGATGTTAACTGCGCAATATAACTGCAGCTATTTTAGCGCTAGTTCATTTTCTACTTATTGATTTACCCTCTGTTCTGTATGAACAGGGGGGGGGGGTTGAAGAAAGCAAAAGGAGGCGAAGAGGGCGAGAAAACACATACATAAATAGTGATAGTGAAGGGCTAAGCTAGAGTTACCGTTTGGCATGAAGCTTCAGCCAGTCATTTTCTTTCCGTGAGTTTAAAAGAAGCAATATCCACCGACAAACATTTGGAAACGACCATTTAAAGGGCCAAAAAACGAAAACAGTGGGCAACAATTGAAGTGAAACTATCGAAATGGTTCCAGTAACAAAAACAATCGTTGAATCACCAACCTTCACTGAGTTCCAATTCAAGTATTGCTAGCTGTTCACGAACATCTTCAGGTAGATAGGCTAGATCCTGTTCAAGCATCAGCTAAATGCTTGCTACCACCGGCACTGACGGTGTACCCGAATCGACTGCCTTCCTATAACAAGTACAGAAAAATCGATAGGAATTGCCGTGGTAAACTCTTCGATGTGATCGATTGCGCTCGGCGAAAATGAAACGCGATCAAAGAGCGTATCTCGGAGAACAGAAATCGCCACTAGATTGTTGGAACGAGAACACTTCAGTTCCAGTATAAGAACTGGTTATTGAAGAAGATTTATCGGATTACAATAAGAATGACGAGAATCGATAACATAGATAATAGCTTCCATTTGCTCTCAAGCAATGTATGTACATCATCACTGGGAAATCCACATCGGAGAACTCTCAGGGTGCATATCAGCCGCAGAACCTAGTTCATTTTTTCTTCCCCTTCCTTCGTTTTCCTTCCTTCCTTCTCTCTTCTCTCTTCCCAATCCTTCTCCCTTCAACAGATGGGCAAGTAGATGCGATGGGAAAATGCTCTGCACCCCTGCAGCGAAAGCACGTTCGGTTGACAGAGGCATTGTAAACCACTGAGAAGGGGCCGGGCTCTTATGGGCCGTAGTTGGCACCGAGAATTTTTTCGAATGACAATTTTTCACGTTTCAGCTTCGCTCTCAACCCTCCACTTCCCCGCTCAACGATAAAATTTGGAAACATTTTAAACCTGGAAACATGAAGAATGATACAAGGTTCAGAGACTGATGAGGCTCCAGTACAATACTCGGTAACCATTTGAAGAGAATTCGGTAATGGGGTCCGTCGCGCTGTTGGAGTCTGTCGCGCTATCTCGCAAAAAGGTAGGGGTCGTATCGAGACCTCTTCCATAGAAGGTCGCACTCCACGGAAGGTCGTACTGTCATTGTCATTCCCCTTATTCCCACAGGACACGCCATGACGTTGTGATCACGAAAGATACGACCCCCTAATTCTATCCTCGAATACGACCCCCTCCCTCACCCCATGCCACCTACCACTTTCCCAAATTTTCCCAACTTCCTACCACTTTTTCCTTTTTCCCGAAAAATTTTCAGTTTTTCAGCCAAGAATTTTCCCTAACGTCCTACCAGTTTTCCTGGAATTTCTTTCTGGTATTTCTCCAAAATTTTGCTGTCGAGCGGAAGTGGGGGAGGTGGATTTAACTATCATTTTCAACTACCGGAAATAGTAGTTGTCTTTGGCAGTCCCTCTCTCAAAAACAGCCAAATACGACCCCCCCCCTTTTGTAGCCGTCCGTGAAACAAGAAAAATCAACTAATGAAAAAATTCTTCTCAGACCAAATACGACTCCCACTCTCTCGCGGTCAAATACGACCCCCCCCCGTTGTGATCATCACAACGATGGCGTGCCCTGACCACTAGCCATGGGGAATATTGTCCTGAGGCCGCATTCATACCTTGCGACTCGGGAGAATAGGATATCTGGAGAACAGGAGACCGCGAGCTAAATATATAAATTGGTGCCTTTCAGTGTCACCCGCCCGAGTTTTGTAATAAAGGAAATCAAAATTAGGCATTCTAGGAGAATAGGAGAATGCGCGCACAGGAGAGTAGATCAGATGGAATGGGGGAATAGGACAACAGGAGAATTATATCGATTCCTATCTTCGATCCTCTCCCTTGAGATGACCCCCCCCCCCACCTTCTACATCCGTCGCGCAGAGGTAGATGCATTCA